AGATTTGATTTCCACACAGCCCCGAGCAGCAGAGGAACCGGTCGCCCGACGGCGAGTAGCTCAGCGCGACGACCGCGTGGCCCTCGTCGGGCTCGATCTCCCGGAAGCTGTGGTGGTGCTTGTCCATGCCCCCGAAGTCGAAGAGGCGCACCTTGTAGTCCAGCGACCCCGTGAGCACGCGCGCGCCGGCGGGGTCGACCGCGATGCACGACACCGACTTCGAGTGGCCGCCGAGCGTCACCTCGTGCGACACGGGCAGGTCCCAGCGCTTCGCCAGGAGGCCCGCGACGGCGTCGCCCGACAACTCGTCCTCCGCTTCCGCCGCCTCCGGCGCGGGCGCGGCGTCCGGCGCCGCGTCCGCGTCCGCGACTTCCGCGTCGCCGCCGGTCCACCGCTCGTACGTCGGCGCCGAGTTCGTCATCGCCGCGGCCATGGCGTCGATCTCCCGCTGGCGCGCCGCGCGCCGCTCGGCGAGGGCCGCCCGCGCCTCGGACGCGTCGGGCTTGGATCGCTTCGTCGCGTCGTGCTCGGAGCCGGCCGCGCGCCGCTTCGCGCCGGACGCGCGCTCCCGCGACGCCGCCCGTAGCGCGTCGCCGCCGGAGAAGGCCGTGGGCAGCCCCGCGAGGCGCGCCTCGGCCGTCGACGCGTCGTCGCCCTCCGCGAGCCGCGCGACGTAGGACCGGCTGCTCAGCGCGAAGCGCACCGTCGCGCCGTCGCGGAGCCGCGTCGGCGTCCCCGGCGCGCAGCGCACGCCGTCGACGGTGCTGCCGTACTGCGACTCGAAGCCGACGAGGAAGAGGCCCCGGTCGCCGTCGTGGACGAGCGCCCCGTGCTTGCGGGAGACCGTGGGGTGCAGGAGCGCGAGGGTGGCGCTCGCGTCGCGGCCCACGGTCGTGACGCGCTCTTTCAGGGTCGTCGCGTCCAGGAGCTGGCCGTCCTTGTAGTGTTCCAACGTGTGGTAGGGCGTCGTCGGCGCGGCGACCCACGGCGGGAGGTCGGCGTCCGTCGCCATCTCGGCTCCGGGCGCGGCGGGCGTCGCCGTCGTGTCGGATGGTGCCGCCTCCTTGCAGCGCGACGAGCAGCATGAGCCCGCTGATCGAGTCGATTTTGCCCGCGGTCCGCGATCCGCTATGCTCGGCGCTCGACGCCTCTTGCCTTGGTCGGCTCCTGTTCGTCTGCAAAACGACGCGCGACGCGGCGACCGCGTTCCTGTGCCGCGAGGTCACGCGCCTGGACAATGAGCTTGGAAATATTCAAAAGACTCCCAAACCACCGGCCGCATCGTATGTCATGCTCAAGTTCATCGCGGATGTGGCTACCCGCGCGCCCAAGTTGGCGCCGCACGTGGAGCACCGCTTCGATCCTCTCTACTTCAATCCTCTTTATGGCGGATTAATCCGCAACGACGGCGCTCGGGCGATCGCTTTCGCGCTCAAAGGTAACTGCACGCTGCGGCGCCTCGAGCTTCAGGAAAGCTATATCAGTGCCTCGGGCGTCAAGGCGCTCGCGCTCGCGATCAAAACAAGTCCAGCGACGTTGGAAGACCTTGCGCTGCTTTATAACCGAGATATGGGAGTCGAAGGCGCCAAAGCGCTGGTGCCCCTGTTAGGTGCTGACTCGGCGCTGCGCAAACTCAACATCTATAGAACCGCCATCGGCGACGAGGGTGCCAAGGTAATTGCGATCGCCCTCGAATCGAACACGTCGCTTCTGGAAATCAATCTCGGCGCCAACGCCATCGGCCCCGAGGGCGCCGTCGCGCTCGCCGCGGCGCTTCGCGAGAACACAACGCTACTGACGCTCAAGGTCGGCAGCAACGCCCTCGGTAACGATGGCGCCAAGGCGATCGCGGAAGCGCTCGGAGCAAATTCGGCGCTGCACGCGCTCGATCTCTGCTCCAACGGCGTCGGAACGGTGGGCATCGATGCGCTCGCGGCGGCGCTCGGCACAAATTCGACGCTGCGGAAGCTCCGTCTCGGCGGCGCCGACCAAATCTGCCCCTATTCGGCCCACGCGCTGGCGAAGGCGCTGAGTGCCGGGTCGGCGTTGCAGGAGCTCGACCTCGCCTGTAGCGCTCACGGCGTTACAGGCCTCGGTGGCTATCACGGGCTCGGTGACGACGCCGCCAAGCGGTTTGGGGCGGGGTTCGCTGCTCACCCGTCGCTACTGCGAGTGCTCAGACTCGGGAGGAACAACATTGGCGTTGAGGGCGCCCGGGCCCTGGCGGCTATGCTCGGCGTGGGCTCGTTGCGGAGCCTCGATCTGAGCTCTAATCACGACATCGGGGACGAGGGCGCCGCGGCGCTCGCGGCCGCACTCGTCGCGAACCCGAGATCCCTCCTAGAGCTCAATCTCAACTGCATCAGATCTGGTCCTGCGGCGGCCACGGCGCTGGCGACCGCGCTCGGCGCCAACTCGGCGCTGGAGAAGCTTTCGCTCAACTGCACCAAGGTTAGAGACGAGGGCGCCAAGGCACTGGCAGCTGCACTCTGCGCGAATTCCGGGCTGCAAGAGCTCGCACTCGAAGATGCATTCATTGGTCGTGCAGGTGCCGTGGCTTTGGCGCAGGCGCTCGCCTCGAACACGACGCTTCGGGAGCTGAACATCTCGAACGGACGCGACGAGATGGAGGGGGCCGCATGCGCCAATCACGTCCGCGACGCGGGTGCCGTGGCCTTTGCACAGGCTCTCGGAGAGAACTCGACCCTGGTGAAGCTCCGTCTCTGGGGCACGGGAGTCGGAACGCGCGGCTGCGCGGCTCTGAGATCCGCGCTCGAGACGAACACGACGCTGGAGTTCGTCTCGGTCAAAAACCCCCAGGGGAACAAGCCGCGGACCGGGGGTGTCACGCCATACCCGCGCTTCTCCTAGTTGCAAGTACTACAAGTAAGCCTTGTGCATGTGTCGCCCCAAGAGCTCACTACGGCCTAAAGTTACGTGATGACACGCGTGTTCATCGCAGCCCGCCGCCCTTGGCGATGCTGATGACCTCGTCGAGGGAGCCCTTGCACTTGGCCAGGTAGCTCTTCGCGCCGCGCGCGTCCTCGTCGCGGAGCGCCTCCTTGAGGCCGCCGGCCATGATGATGACGTCCGCGGCGACGCCGTAGCGCCTAATCGTGCCGATGGCCTTCTTGTCCTCCGCGGCGAGCACCGGCGCCTGGATGATGATCGTCGCCTGGTCCTCGAAGGCGTCGATGGGCGCGAGCGCCGCGGCGGCGCCGTCGAAGTCGCCCTTGGCGAGCAGCGCGTCGATGCCGTCGAGGGCCTTGCGGCCGGCCTTGATGCCCGCGATGGCCTGCTTCGCGTCGTCGGCCGAGTACTTCTTCGGCGCCGCGGCGGCGGCGAGCGGAATCAACGGCGCGCTCCGGCAGGCGGCGACGCCGAGAGCGCGCCGCGTGACGCCGAAGCCGTCGCAGGCGCGCAGCAAGAGTAAGATGATCGCTGCTGCTTTCATTGCTGCGAGCGGCGGCGTCAGCGGCGCTCAAAGCAGCCGCACACACCTCGCAATCGATCGATCGCGCCGTCAACAAGGTTCAACAATGCATGCAACATGCCCTAATCGGACGTCTGCCGCGGCTGAGAGCCCACTCGCGGGGAACCCAAAGGCACAAAAATGAACAAAGCCGATTCCAGGCTGTTTAGAGCGCGGAGGCCGTGTCAGGGCGCCGCGTCTCGTGGCGCGGGCGCGGGCGCGGGGCACGCGGCCGCGGCGTCCTCGAGTTCGCCCGCCTCCTCCTGGTAGGCGCCGCGCGTCAAGCTCAGCAGGCAGACGTAGCCGAAGGAGACGCCCGCGATCCAGGGCATGCGCAGGTGCGTCGGCATGACCGCGTAGGTCACCGTGTAGCCCGGGACCCAGATGGCCCAGGAGTTCAGCCAGTCGTTGAAGTAGTTCTGCGAGTAGCGGTGCAGGCCGTTCGTGAAGGACTGGGGCCCGAGCTCGCCCGTGTTGCAGACCTCGCGGAACGTGTAGAACGTCGGGAAAAAGAAGACCGGGTCGCTGATCAAATTCGACGCGGCGATCTTCGCGATGGTGTTGCCCCAGGTCCGGCCGGGCCAGATGCGCTCGAAGAGCTTGTTGTACATGAAGTACTGCCACATGCCCTGGTAGGACGCGCCGAACGACGTGAAGAGCAGCGTCCGCCGCGGGTCGACGGTCTCGCGCCGCTCGACGAGGAGCTGGACCATGAGGTCCGCGACGCCCGCCTTGGCGCCCGTGACGACGACGGCCGTGCCCAGGGGGCGCCGCTCGGCGAAGGCGTTCATGCCCCGCAGCCCGGCCATGACGAAGGCCATGGCGCCGCGGTCCGCTGTGTTTGGCGACCGCCGCCGCTCGCGTGCGCGCGCCGGGGCGCCGCGCAGCGCCGGCGCTGGGGATTCGACGAGTGCAGTCGCAGGGATGCCTACGGCACCATCGCCGCCATGAGGGGCGCCGCCGGGCCCGCGTCAAGAGAGGCTGCTGCCTCGATCAAATCCAGGTCAGTCGAGCTCGCCCAGGCAACATCTCGTCAACATCTCGTCAACATCATCCTCGCCTGTGGCAATTCCGGCCTGAGAGGCATGGACGCGCCATAAATCACCGCA